ATGTGTCCTTAAGTTGTACTCAACATCCTTTTAAATCTTATGTGAACTATAAAGTAATTATGTAACATGTGTACACGTACGTGTGTGTATATATATATATATATTTAAAAAATTATTATACAGTGGAATTAACTCTCTTTTCTGGTATGCAAGTTATATACATTTTAAAACATAGATTCGTATTGTCACCGTTGAAGTCAAGATCCCAAACTACTTCATCACCCCAAAATATTTCCTCTTGCTATCCTTTTATAGTCCCTATGCTTAGTGCTGCTAATTTGTTTGCCATCACTACAATTTTGTATATTCCAGAATGCAATCACTAAACTTTTGAGATTGGTGTTTTTAACTCTGGAGAAAAATCTTAATATTATCCAATTTATGTGTGTATCATTATTTCTTCTCTTTTTATTTCCTGGATGTAATAAATGTACACAGATTATCCCTCTACTTGCTGAGTGACAGAGGTACATCTGCGTGAGGGTTGTTTCATGCAATTTTGCATGCAACTGCAAAAAAGATTTATGTGTGGGTTTTGCATGATCAGAAGTTTCTATTCTTCTTGGGTAAATGTCAAAGAGTGGCCTTGTTGGGTCATTTGTAGCTGATAAAAATGCAAAGAAAGAAAGAAAAGAAAGAAAAAGAGAGGAAGGAAGGAAGGAAGACTACTGTGCAGCTTTAAGTATGTTGATTTCTCGCCAGCAAAGAAAATATTTATAGACTAAATAGCCTGTAGTACTGCATATTTATTTTAGCCATTCTTATAGATGTGTAGTGGTACACCATTGTGATTTTAATTTTTAATGGTTAATGATGTTTTACCCTTTCATCTACTTACTTATTTACTGTCTTTATATACATGTATGTTTTTGTGAAGTTTCTGTTGAAGTGCTTTAACCCTCTCTCTCTCTTTTTTTAAATTTGTTTCAGGTTCATTGAAAGTAAAAAGAATTAGGTAACACTGTTTGTATTTGTTAGGTCCTGCTCTCAAGAGGTGTGACACACACCATAACCCCCATCCCCATCTTCCTCCCCTATCCCCGCTCCCTCATTCCCCTGCCTTCCCCCTTGAATCCATTTGAGTTTTTCTCTTATGTGGGTGTGTATTAGATTATCTACTGGCTTCATATTAGAATTGAATACATTGGATTCTTGTTCCTCCATTCTTGTGATACTTGACTAAGAAGAATGTGTTCTAGCTCTATCCAGGTTAATACAAAAGATGTAAAGTCTCCGTCTTTTTAATGGCTGAATAGTAGTTCATAACTATTGCCTTGTTTTCTTATTATTGAGATTTGAGTTTTCTTAGAATGAATTCTGATTCTTTACTGAATTTTTGAATGGCAAATATTATATGCAGGTCTATAAATTGTCTTTTAATTCTCTCAATAGTGTTTTTGACAAGGCAAAGTTTCAATTTTGACAACATTTAATTTTTGTTTTTCTTTTTATAGATTGTGTTTTTGGTGTCATGCCTAAAACATCTCCCTAACATTAGATTTTCTCCTATGTTCTCTTTGGAAAGTTTTACAGTTTTACTGAATAATGTGATTCCTCTGATTTCATTCTTTTTTACAATTGTTTTACTTAATATCATTCCTTCGATCCTTCATATATATTTTAGATTGAATTTTTCTATGTCTACAAAACTCCCATCATAGTTTTTCTTGCTATTGCATTAAATCATAGATCAGTTTGGGGAGAATTAATATCTTTTCTATGTAAGTTTTCAAATCTATTAAAATCGTATGACTCTCCATTGTTTTGTTGGAGTAAATGTCCTTATATTTTAATTCAAGAAAGGTGATTCTGTCTTGACCTATGTCCTATAATTTTGATAAATACAATTATTAGTTCTTAGAGGTTTTTTGTTTGTTCAGATTCCTTAGGATTTTCCTCACAGATAAGCTGTTGTCTTAGGCACAGTTTTTTTTTTCTTCCTTTCTAATATATATAACCTAAAAATATATATTTATTTTCTTTCATTGTACTGGCAAAGCCTTTCCGTGGGGGAGCAGGGAGAGTTGATATTCTTGCTTTATTTCTAGTCTTAGTTAGGAAACATGATATATATTATTAATAGTGTCAGTATTCTTTAGTTTTTTATAGCTGTATTTACTTTGACGGTATTTATAGGTGATGATTCCTACGACTTTTCACGTGAACTCCCTTCTTTTGGATAAGTGAGTGAATGTACTTATCTATTTGTTATAATTAGAGAACAAGATCACTAGCAGATTTCATGTGAGCCTATGTTAAGATTTAAGCTTCACTCAAATGGTAGGGGGAAAAGTTGTGATTTCATGTGGCAATTGTACTGCTGTTTATTGCAATGGCAGACCAAAATTATCAAAGGTCAACCCCAGTTATCTAAGTTGATAGACATATATAATCAACAGCAATCAAAACAAGAACAGGCACTTGGAAAATACCAGGAAAGCCCAAATTTCATTTATATCTCTTTACTGTAAGACTATATAGGAATGTTTATGAAAGCTCTAAGATATATTTCTTTTGCTATTTGATCAGATACTGGGTTTTTAAAAAAAGTGAGAACCATATTATTTTTATATGAACATAGAGATTGGTTATATACCATTTATGAGCCTACAGAAGAAAAATAGATTTCCTACTGCAGACTCTTTATATTGAGAAAGAAAAATAATTATAACTTCTACACACAGATGGAGAGATTTAATTTTCTTCTTCACTTGGTTGTGCATGACTTTTTTTTAACCAGCTCAAGGAAGTGAGTTGAAAATTAGACACCAGCTAGAGACACCTACAAATCATATGCTCAATATTTGTATAAGATCAGCTATGTGGTTCATAGGTAGACAAGGCCAAAGGGCTATTGTTAATTTTTTGTTATTTTTATTTAACAGTCAACTCATCACTAGTGAAATACTTTTAAGAACTCTTAAAAAAGGAGAAAGATATACTCAAGAAATTTTAAAAAATATTTCTCTGGTGCCATATATTCTCTATCTCTCGGTGTTTTGTTTCTCTCTCTTTCTCTCTCATCCCTTCTCTCTCTATATATAGATCTATTTTTAATTTATGTAATGTGTATGTTGAAATATTCATTTCTTGAAGGAGGAATGAAAAAATGCCAGTTAATTGTTATGGTTTAGCATAAGGTACATAAAGTTTATTTTTCTAGTCTCTTAACTTTGTGAATATTATAATTTCAAAAAAAATCTGAAATATGCTAATTTTTATGATACCATGACACTTACAAAATATTTTCTACAGCTATGATATTAAGTAGTAGATGTTTAAAAAAATTCTAATATGATTAGATAAGTATAATATACAATGCTACCCAAGAAATAAGTAAGCCATCATAAAAACCAAAGTTGAACTTAGAAACTCATATACAGCCTGAAAGAACTGGCTCAGAAATGGGGCAGATGGAAAATTAGCCACCGCAAGAATGAAGTAAATTTTAAAGAATATGGACATTAAAGACAAGTAAGTTTTAAGTTAAAGTTGGACAAGTAACATTAAAGTTAAGTATTAAAATGAACCAAAATATGTTTAATGTAAGAGATATTGGGGCCGGAGGCCATGGTTCATACCTGTTATCCTAGCACTCAGGGAAGCCAAGGCAGGTGGATTGCTTGAGCTCTGAAGTTCAAGATCAGCCTGAGCAAGAGCAAGACTCCGTCTCTACTAAAAACTATAGAAAAAAATTAGATGAGCATTTTGACAGGCATCTGTATTCCCAGCTACTTGGAAGCCTGAGGCAAGAGGATCTCTTAAGCCCAAGAGTTTGAGGTTGCTGTGAGTTATGACACAATGACAATCTATCCAGGGCAGCAGAGTGAGACTCTATCTCAAATTAAATAAACAAATAAAATTATATATATATATATATATGTTATATGTAAATGATATTTCAGTTATAATGTTTTAAAGTCAGATGTGTTACTGTTTTATTATCTTAAATTACCTTACAAATTTGAATTGTATATGTGTAGTAAGGTCTACATGAATTGAGACAAATGATTAGACTCTATTTTTTCATTTATAAAAAGAGAAAATTACTGAATAATCTATCAGTGGTACTATTGCTTAAATTTCAATTTTAATCAACTACTCTACTGGCATAATCCAATGTAATGACCAAATCGTTTTGTTTGCACGTGTATCTGACATGCTAACTAATGAACAGTCTAATAGACAATATAGAACAGTGTCTACAATTATAGTCACAATCTAACAATGATAATAACTAAAATGGATTAAATACTTTCTCACAGCCAAGACTCTACTACATGTCAGAGACCAGAATTTTATTTAATCCTCACCACAAAACTATCATGTAAGTACTACCATTATCTTTTTTACATAGTTGAGGTTTAACAAGGTTAAAATATTTTGCCTTCCATAACTGTAGTTTTAAAGGCTTACCTATGTATAAGTTTGGAAATCAAAGTTCAGAAGACTGGCAAAAGAATGTAATGATAATTTTTCACTTACTGGTAAAAACTATAACTTTTTTTATTCCTAAATTATACTGTAATCTTTGAAAACATCATAGTAAAAATCAAAACCCCAAGGAAGTTATTAAAAATTTACCACACTTTGCTCATGTGGGAGTAAAGAGTCTACTTTCTGAAGAGATTATTATAGATGTGCCTAGAATAAGATCCAAATATCACACAGAGTGGGCTGGATATCTCAGCTGGGTTTCCATAAAACTTATTACCTCAAAATTTTAAATATAAGAATAAGTGTATAATCAAGTAATTGTACCACAGAAAAGAAAAATCTTAATGCAAGGTAGCACAATTATGAAATGAAATAATTAGCTATACATGAAAACCAAACTGGTTGAGAGTTACATGGTGTAAATGTTAAGTAGGAAAGAAAAGAGGAAGGCTAACTAGCAGAGCAGGAGAAGTGCAATGTTGAGTACAGGATTTATCCTGAAAATGCTGAAACCTTTCATTCCGCAGGACACCCATTCTTTCCACTTAAATTTACATTTTAGGGTTCACTTAGGCAGCACACGTACTAAAATTTGAACAATGCAGAGATTACCATGGCCCCTGCATTAATGATGACATGCAAATTCGTGAAACATTCCATATTTTAAAATTAATTTATTTTAAAAAATTAAAAATAAATGTATATTTTAAATGCAATAATAGATCATTCCTAATTTCTTTCTACTCCAAAACCTACCTTCATTCAAGACCTACTTACGTATAAGAAATTCTACACTGTAACTTCCCATTGAGCAGCTTAGAGAATTTCCTATCTGGTTCTCTTTAAATCGCAATTTTTTTCTAAAATTCTGATTCAGAAAATAATTTCAAAGAGAAAAATTAATGACACAAATAAGTGGCCTAGGAACAGTAGCAATTAAAATAATTATATTTGTATAGCTATAATCTTTGTATTAAAATGCTTTTATTTTCATGACTTCATTTCAAATAGTTACTTATTATTTCAGAAAAGATTATACTGGGATTACAAAATATTCCAACAGTAACCATACTAAATTGTAAATTACTTTGATATCTGGAAATGTGAATTTTAGTTCCGCATGCCTGCCACAAGAACTGCCCTGAGGCTAAGGCAAGAGGAAACCTGGTCCTGACTCAGGAGCTTCCTCATCCTCCACACACCTCTCCTCCTCGGCCACACTTTTTTCTTTCCAAGGCATGAAGAGTTCTCAGGATCAAGAGAACTTGCTTACTCAGAGCCCTTATTCTCTGGTTGTTGTTTTGATTTCCTAAAGTCCAGATTTCCCTGGCAAAAATGACCTTAGGTCCCCCCCATCCAACAGTGAACTCTTCCCTGAGTCTTTCTTTCCAGAGAGGAATTACACAAGCTGGTGGGATCATCCTTGTGTCCTGTCATGGGGGTACACAAGGTGACCCTCTCTGTGTGTTGGAGAACCAATTTGCAGCAAAAAAGACAAAGTGAGCTGCAGATCAGAATTCAGGGGTACCCCAGAGTTCTAAATTCTAAAAAGGTTTGACCGCCTATGTTTATTTCAAAATAAAGAACCATTATTGGTACTTGGTTTAATTATTGGTACTCAGTGAGGGTGTACTGTTGTCCATTTATTATGGACACAAGTTCCACATGGATAACCAGGGGCAGTCCATTCCGGGGTAAGACTAAAAACAAAGACTCTCATGCCCTGTATAACCAAGGGCTGAATGGAGGGGAAAATGGGGAGGTGATGGTCAAAGAGTGAAAAGTTTCAGTTATATAAGATGAATAAGTTCTGGAGAGCCAATGTACAGCAATGCAACTACAGTTAACAATACCATATCATATACTTGATAAAAGGAAACCTCTTAAGTGTTTTTATCACACACATAAAGGAAAATACACAACATAATGGATACGTGAATTAGTTATTTATTTCCAAATAAATAGCAAAACATCAAATTATGCCCTTAAATATATAGTATTTTTGTCAAGTATACTCAATAAATCTCAAAAAATGAAAATGTAGAGAAAAACAGAGACAAAAATGTATAAATCAAATAGTTGAATATGTTTTCCTGCTACTATGAAAAATAAACAATGAAAAAAAAATTGAAAAGCATTTACTATATACTATGTACTATATAACTGTAAACAATTATGCTTTTTTGATTAAAAATGATATTAACTAAAAAAGAAAATCATGAATGGAGATATGGTTTTATTTGGTAAATTTGGCAAATTCCTAAGAAATATTTATTTATCATTTATTCCATCTCGGGATCTGCTGATAAGCCCTTACTAATGATCTGTAAACTAAGTAAAACAATTAAAATATGAATATAAGAATATTTGTATGTCTTAGAAAAGTGCTTGCCATTTGGCAAAATCAGTGATACTTCCTTAAAATCAAGATTATCACATACTTTAACATAATTTTACCTAGACAAAATGTTTGAATAATTATGAATATTTCTGTATTTCTTATTGAATTTCAGTTTGAAAAATGTTTCCAGCCCAATTAGTGACAACTTGAAAGATTAAAAAAAATTAAAGCAGGTCTATGATTTGGAATAAATCAAGAATTTTTTGTTCAATGGTCAAATATCATAGTGGAATCACATATAATAGATTGTTATTTTCATAAAATATTTTAAAACCACTATGACCTATATTACAGTATTTACTGCCTCTGGAAGAACTATCTGGTATCTATACACAATAATACTTAATTTTCTGTCCAATTTTTTATAGGGAATTGTTATAAAGAAAATTGATGTTAAAAGTATATTACTAGGTTTATAGAAACATCTTCCAACTGAAACTATACCCATGATCTTCAACTGACAGAAAATACAACTTTATTACAGACTCATTTTTCATATTTTAGCTAAATGTTCTGTCTTAATTAAACATTTTTGCTTCCTCGTTATAATTTTCTTATAAGAATTGAATGTCATATATTTTACATAAAATTTGCTTTGAAAAAACAGTTTTCTAAAGTTTGTAAGTATGCATGTATTTATTTCTTTTAAATATAAAACGAAAAACTTTTTTTACTGTTAATGTAAGTTTTTACTAAGCAGTCGTATTTGCAAAGTACAGTTCACACCAAATGAGTGTGGGTAGGTAAAATTCAGAATAATTTCATTTTTATGTCAAAGAATAAGATCTGATTGAGGATTTTCTCTTGTTTTCCTTAATTCTTCTAGTTCATTTCACAATGTGCTTAATACAAATTAAGTTGTTTGATAATGTTCATTTGGAATTCCTGTAATGTACCCAAGACTAGCTGTAAGGTCAAATTTAATAGGTTTCATCAAGAGGTTTCATCTTTGGGAAGATCCAGAATTACTGAATATTATCTTTCAGTTCTTCCATAGGATGTAATTGTTCTTGGCACAGTTGAGACCATCACATCTCTTGGTAAAAATCACATTAATGTTCATGTACAGTATAAAATTCTTAAGAATTTTTGGGAAAAAAGTCTAGCTTATAATTTTTCCATACCAATCTTGTTATCTCTACTAACAAGTCCTCAATAATGTTTTAAGTTTTTTTTTAAATTTTTCAGGTTAGTTAAAACTTGTACTTTTATAAACAGGTATAAAATCAATGAAGTACTAATTATTAATATTGATTTCTCTCTTTTCTGCTTATTCACTTTAAAGGTAATAAGTATTATTTTTCATATGATCTTTTCCCTGGCATACTATAGATTTTTGTCTTTGATATGATCAAGTTGAAGGAGGCATTACTTCTTATTTGATGTATAATTTCTTTTCACATTTCATTACTTATTAAGTTAATTATATCATTTTATAGTTTTCACTCTTAATAGTAATTATTAATTTTAATATTTTCACACTTACTATACATGTCAATTAACTAAATCATTTCTATTAAATGTATACATTTGAAACATTTTGCTATTAGTCTGATGAATGCAAATACACATTGGTAAAATATTGAGTTATGATTCTTTTAAGATGCACTGCCAAGGTCATATATCAATATATACTTTTCTTTATTGTATTGTATATTGTTTGCCATTTATTCAGCCTTTTCTTCATATCCTGTAATTAATTTCATGATTCTTTTTTCCATGAAAGGAAAAAGTAAGTATTACACATTCCACATTCCCTCTGTACCTGTGCACATACAAATTAATAGTATGAACTCTTTAATATTGCATAATGTTCTTTAGCTCTCAAGAATAACTATTGCAGATATTATGCTAATTCATGAATATCTCCAGAATCATGAATAAATAAAAATATGGAAAGAAGCATGAAAATGAATATACAGCAATACTAGAAAATTATACTTTGTATTACAGTCTTAAAGAAAGGTGCACTTAAATGTTCTTCTTTAACATAACTATAGCTATAGCAGCACAAATACAAACGTAACATGGTATTCTGGCGAAGTTGTCTTTTTTTCAGAGGGCGTAGAGCAAACGAGTTTGGAGCAGGATTCCACCAATGCCCAACCATTGCAATAGTGTTATAGAGGGTTAATGGGTGGAGTATTGCCCAGGATAAGCGCAGGATCCTCTACATTGGAGGCACACAGCTGTAATTTATTGAACAAATAAATTACATAGGTTAAATAAATTAATACATATATTTTATATTTCTCATATAGAGGGCACTCTAGTGCTCCCTTTATTGACATATGTATGAATTAGAATTGTGCCATTATGTTTCCAAACGTATAGATGCTTTTCCTGTGATTTTTCTTTTACTGGCTTCTACTTTAATTCCATGTGGTCAAATTCACATAAATTGAATCCTTTGAAATTCATTGATAACTTGTTTTGTAATCCAACACATATCCTATCTGAGTAAATATTCCATGGGTTCTTGAAGAAAAGTATGTTTTCTGTTTCACTGGATTGGAGTGTTCTGTAAATGTCAATTAGGCAGAGTTGGCTGATAGTATTCTTCAAATTGCATTATAGTGATTTTATATGTAATTGTTTAATCAATTATTGAGGGCAAGATATTAAAAAGTTAACTAAAATTTTATATTTGTCGACTTCTTAACGTTTTATTAGTTTTAATTCATATATTTGAAACTCCATTACTAGATTCCTAAATGTTTATGATTATGTCCTATTGATGAATTAACCTTTTTTCCACTCTAAAATAGATTTTTTTCATTCTTGGTAATATTTTTTCCAAAATGTACTTTGTATAATGTTCTAATTTTTGTTATTAGTATTAGCAAGGTTGATTCTTTTGTCATTTTACTTTTAACTCTTTTGAGTCTTATTTATGATGTCTCTTGTAGGCAGCATAATATTGAGTCTTGTTTATTATCCATTCTCACAAAATGTGATTTCCTATTTAACATTTTATTTAAGGTGGTTATTGACATATTTTGGTTGACTTCTGGTATCTTGCTTCATGTTTTATATTTGCCCCATTTGTATTTTTCCGTTATTTTCCCTCTTCTTTTTTCTTTTTTCTTTGTATAATATCATGATATCATTTTTGTTATGAAATCAGCTACATTTTTTCTTGCTTGTGGTTTTTTTATTGTTTGTTGTCAGTATACACAGTATATTTTTTACTTATCACTATTTTTAAGTGATATACCACTCTCCCCTATAGTAAGAGAAACTTAGGACAGTACATTTGCATTTC